CTGTGTGTGTGTGCTGTCCTGTGTGTTGTATGTGTGTGTATTGTGTGTACTCTTGGCACTGTGTGTGTACTGTGTGTGCTGTCTGTATGTAATATGTGTGCCCTGTGTGTAATGCACGCACTATGTGTATTGTGTGTATTGTTTGTTCTGTATGTGTTGTGTGTGTATGCAATGTGTGCACTGTATATATTGTGTGTGTGCACTGTATATATTGTGTGTGTAATGTGCGTGCTATGTGTATCTGTCCCCTCGGGACACCCCTCATATAACCAGAGCTGGGCATGTGTCCCCTGAGCCAGCAGGCTGACACTGTCTGTGTGAGAATCAGTGACTGGAACAAGGTGACAATAACTTACAGTATAAACACAAATCATCGTGGAAAACAACAGCTTAAATAACCACAACTATCATCACATGATATAGAAAGTCATGCTATGGACTTCTGTATAATAGAATGATACAGTATACTTTACAGATTACATCCATATTCACGTTATAAGATGTTCACATACATTACTCATATAAAGAATCACGTTATAGTATGTTCACATACAATACTCTCATTAATTCACATGTTATAGTATGTTTAAATACAATACTCTCAATAATTCACAGACAATGTCATGTAATGTTGAATTCCCCTTGTTATACAGGTATGAAGTCATGTTACAGGTAATATACATTTACTAAGCAGAAAAACTTGTGAGCAGAGGATGAATTCAGAATGCTTGAATAATATTGGCTGCCACATTCTATAGAATGCACATAATAACACAGGCTGTCACATTCTATAGAATGCCCATAATAACACAGGCTGTCACATTCTATAGAATGCCCATAATAACACAGGCTGTCACATTCTATAGAGTACCCGTAATAACACAGGCTGTCACATTCCATAGAATGCCCATAATAACACAGGCTGTCACATTCCATAGAATGCCCATAATAATATTGGCTGTCACATTCTATAGAATGCCCATAATAACACAGGCTGTCACATTCTATAGAATGCACATAATAACACAAGCTGTCACATTCTATAGAATGCCCATAATAACACAGGTTGTCACATTCCATAGAATGCCCATAATAACACAGGCTGCCACATTCTATAGAATGCCCGTAATAGCACAGGCTGTCACATTCTATAGAAAACCCGTAATAACACAGGCTGTCACATTCTATAGAATGCCCATAGTAACACAGGCTGTCACATTCTATAGAATGCACATAATAACACAAGCTGTCACATTCTATAGAATGCCCATAATAACACAGGCTGTCGCATTCCATAGAATGCCCATAATAACACAGGCTGCCACATTCTATAGAATGCCCATAATTACACAGGCTGTCACATTCTATAGAATGCCCATAATAACACAGGCTGTCGCATTCTATAGAATGCCCATAATAACACAGGCTGTCACATTCTATAGAATACCCATAATAACACAGGCTGTCACATTTTATACAATGTACACATAATTTCAGAAAACATTTCATAGAATTTACATTTAGTACAGAAAGCCACACCCCGCAGAATGCACACACTACAGAAAGCAGCATTCCATAGAATGCACAGAGTACAGAAAGCCACACCCCGCAGAATGCACAGAGTACAGAAAGCCACACCCACAGAATGCACAGAGTACAGAAAGCAGCATTCCATAGAATGTATAAAGTACAGAAAGCGCCCCCCCCCCCCGCAGAATGCACACACTACAGAAAGCAGCATTCCATAGAATGTAAAAGTACAGAAATCCTCCCCGCGCAGAATGCACACACTACAGAAAGCAGCATTCCATAGAATGCACAGAGTACAGAAAGCCACACCCACAGAATGCACAGAGTACAGAAAGCCACATCCACTGAATGCACACACTACAGAAAGCAGCATTCCATAGAATGTATAAAGTACAGAAAGCCCCCCCCCCCACAGAATGCACACACTACAGAAAGCAGCATTCCATAGAATGCACAGAGTACAGAAAACCACACCCACAGAATGCACAGAGTACAGAAAGCCACACCCACCGAATTCACACACTACAGAAAGCAGCATTCCATAGAATGTATAAAGTACAGAAAGCCCCTCCCCCCCCCGCAGAATGCACACACTACAGAAAGCAGCATTCCATAGAATGCACAGAGTACAGAAAGCAGCATTCCATAGAATGTATAGAGTACAGAAATCCCCCCCCCCCAGAATGCACACACTACAGAAAGCAGCATTCCATAGAATGCATAGAGTACAGAAAGCAGCATTCCATAGAATGTATAGAGTACAGAAAGCCCCCGAATGCACACACTACAGAAAGCAGCATTCCATGGAATGCACACATTCTACACAAAGCCAGGCCCCATAAAATGATTAGATTTACTTTAGAAGCCATGCCCCATAAAATGCTGTCACTGTACAAAAATCTACATTCAGCTGTTTGCAAATATTTGCAGAAAGCTACATTTAATACATATATAATACATTGAGTTTTAGGGATCTTGCTGGTGGACCTATGAACACAAATATAACATAGTGTAACATTGTATGATAAAGGACAAACGCAAATTCTTGGTTGCACTCAGAATAAAGATGGTTAAAGCGCCTTATGGGTGCCACCCACGATTTCAAATAGGGGGACAGAGTTCCTTCTTCGGACTTCTCTCCCGACTGGTCTTTTGAACAGCCAAAACGATTCACCAGAGGTTTTTCAAAAAAAGGATATTTATTACACAAATTAAAAAATAATTTACACAATAGTGTTTAAAATATAATGGTCCTACGCGTTTTGTTCTCACATGAGCATTTCCTCAGGGACCCATATAAATAAAACCAGTAACAATGGAGTAATGGGCGCCCTTTCTCCACCAATGACATTCTAGGGGTTAGCCCTGTAATAAGAGAACTATGGGGAGGTGTATTTAGGCTTTAATTTTTTGTATTACATTGTTATTGGTTTTATTTATATGGGTTCCTAAGTTCTCATATGAGAACGAAATGCATAGGACCATTATATTTAAACACTATTGTGTAAATAATTTTTTTATTTGTGTAATAAATATCCTTTTTTGGAAAAACCTCTGGTGAATCGTTTTGGTTATTCTAAAGACCAGTCGGGAGAGAAGTCCGAAGGAGGAACTCTATCCCCCTATTTGAAATCGTGGGTGGCACCCATAAGGCGCTTTAACCATCTTTATTCTGAGTGCAACCAAGAATTTGCGTTTGTCTTTTATCATACAATGTTACACTATGTTATATTTGTGTTCATAGGTCCACCAGCAAGATCCCTAAAATGATGTGTATATACATTTCTGCTGTGGTTGATTAGCATCTGGGAGGTAACCCTGGGAGGCTGTGTACCTATAAGTTAAGTTATTTTATATTGCTTTATTTCGCTGGTGTCAGGTGGAATTGTTACATTTACATATAGAATACATTCCATGCATAATACAAAAAGCCACACTCAATAGAATGCACACATAATACAGAGAGCCACACCTCTTAGAATGCACGCATAATACAGAAAACTACACCCCATAGAATGCCCACATAATACAGAGAGCCACACCTCTTAGAATGCACGCATAATACAGAAAGCCACACTCAATAGAATGCACACATAATACAGAGAGCCACACCTCTTAGAATGCACGCATAATACAGAGAGCCACACCTCTTAGAATGCACGCATAATACAGAGAGCCACACCTCTTAGAATGCACGCATAATACAGAAAGCCACACCTCTTAGAATGCACGCATAATACAGAGAGCTACGCATCTTAGAATGCACACATAATACAGAAAGCCACACCTCTTAGAATGCCCACATAATACAGAAAGCTACACCTCTTAGAATGCACACATAATACAGAAAGCCTACGCCCCATTGAATGCACACATAATACAGAAAGCCACACTTCTTAGAATGCACTCATAATACAGAAAGCCACACTCAATAGAATGCACACATAATACAGAGAGCCACACCTCTTAGAATGCACGCATAATACAGAAAGCTACACGTCTTAGACTGCCCTCATAATACAGAAAGCCTAATTTTGGATTTTATTTTTGTATGGAGTACAACTCTAATCACGTCAGAATGTCAATATGTCATGCTCTGCAATAGATGAGATGCCCCAATGAATTTGGACACAGAATGGCACGGTAGTTTAGGTTTTAGTAAACGTAACGAAGTCACTAATGACAGAGGTGATTAGTGTGCGGCTCTCTATAGACAAGCTCGCTGCTGACATTCCCCAGAAAATCAGCTGTCTGGGTGAGTTTATCGAAAACAACCATGAGGAACCTGCGGTGTTGGCGTCTGTGCTCTCTGACCCACTGCAAGCTAGTGATAAACCCCTGGTTTTATTTAAGCAGAGGAACATAACGGCAGCTCGAGTAGGAAACTCGCTATGGGGGCTCTGAACTATTTCTAGTAACTGTTGCTGACGTTAATTACTGGCGGGGGTACACGCTCTGAATGGAGAATGGTTGCATTCCTTATTAAGGATTGAAACTATTGGATTATTTTTATTATTATTATTAGCATTTATATACCGCCAACATATTCCGAAACGCTCTACGATCATAGAAAGGAGATTTAGTGGTAAAGAGGGCCCTGCTCACATGAGCTTACAATCTATTAAGATTTGAGATAGATGGATATATTGTTCAGTATCTTACCAAGGATACTAACCGATGAGGTGGTCCGACTGGGATTCGAACTTGGGTTTCCCGATGGGATGACACCTTCGGTAGGCCTGTGAGTATCTGTGCCATGTGTGTGTGTTTTTATTTTAGCTGGCATTTCAAACAATGGGGCTCATTTACTGAGTGCTGACACAGAGCAGGTGGCGCGTCTCTTCACGTGAACGGACCATTTGTTGCTGTCAGCGATGGCTGCTGCTGCCAGGTTCAGTGAGGGATATAAATAGATAGACACAGCGAGATATCAGTCCGGAGAGACCTTCCTCCCATAGACTAAACTGCCGTATTTTAGTGGAGATAAAGGGATTTATTCACTAAACAGTCAGAATAAAATATCCAAGCTGGGACTCTAAATCAGCGGGAGAATTGTCCTAAATTCTGTAATTTTATTTTCACTTCACTGTAATTCACAGTTTAATAAATAGCTACCCAGAGTATGGTGTATCAGTTAAATTTTTACCTATTGGAAGGTAATATAAATATCTGCATATTTTTTGTATATTTTGTTTTGGATGCTTGTCACTGTGTCAGGAAAATGTGGAAATATATCTGCCGGATTGTATGTGTGAGCATCTTGCTCCAAACAGATGCTGATGCTGGAATCCCATGATCCTTAGCGTGTGGACACTCTTTGGACACAGGTGGCCATCTTGGTGGAGCCAGTCGCAGTGTATTATCTTTCAATCTATACAATGTAATATAAATTCACAAGACACTTTGAAGATTGTTCTTCTATGTCCACATGAATCTGACTTTATGTATAGACAACAGGTGTTTTTAAAGGGACACTATAGGTATCCAGACAGTTCATCTAATTGAAGTAGTCTGGATGCTGAGTCCCTGTCCCCTTAGCACCGCGATGTAAAACATCTCTCAGACAGCCACTAGAGGCGCTTTCTGTGTTTACCCAGAGTGAAACAATGCTGGATATCCTCGCGGCCAGCGTCTTCAAATCCCAATAAGAAAGCATTGATTCAATGATTTCCTTTGGTGAAGTTCTAATGGGTTATATTCTCACCCCTCATACAGGGCTGATATACCCTCCTACCCCCCATGTAGGACCACGCCTGGACCTTTATTATCACTGTTAGTTTGTGATTTAAGATAAGGAGATTGCAATTTGACCATTTCTTTATATACACCTCTGATTATCTCATTTTATCAGTTTCAGTATTCAAAGTATCATTTTGCAGGCAATTTATAACAAAGTAATTACATTTGTCACATAACTGAGATTTAATTCACTTACCTATGATATAACTCCCCTATCTGTGATATATAACACTTATGCTTATATATATATATGATATAACTCACCTATAGGTGATATATAGTTCCCAACATTCCAAAAGGAACAAAGAGCAACACTTTAATTTTAGGGGTGTGAGACAGGAGACAGGAAGCGGGGCTATCCTGAGTGTTAGTGGGGTGTGGCCAGGGGTGGGGCTATTCTGAGTGCTAGTGGGGTGTGGCCAGGGGCGGGGCTAGTCTGAGTGTTAGTGGGGTGTGGCCAGGGGCGGGGATATTCTGAGTGTTAGTGGGGTGTGGCCAGAGGCGGGGCTAGTCTGAGTGTTAGTGGGGTCTGACCAGGGCCGGGGCTATTCTGAGTGTTAGTGGGGTGTGGCCAGGGGCGGGGCTATTCTGAGTGTTAGTGGGTGTGGCCAGAGGCGGGCTAGTCTGAGGTCAGTGGGTGTGGCCAGGGCGGGGCTGCCCTGAGTGTTAGTGGGTGTGGCCAGGGCGGGCTATCTGAGTGTTAGTGGGGTGTTGCTTAAGAAGCGGGCTATTCTGAGTGCTAGTGGGTGTGACCGGGCGGGGCTAGTCTGAGTGTTAGTGGGTGGCCAGGGCAGGGGCTATCTCTGAGGTTAGTAGGATCAAGGGCTAGTCTGAGTGCTAGTGGGGTGTGGCCAGGGGCGGGGCTATTCTGAGTGTTAGTGGGGTGTGACCAGGGGTGGGGCTAGTCTGAGTGTTAGTGGGGTGTGACCAGGGGCGGGGCTAGTCTGAGTGTTAGTGG